TTACTTCATTATTCATGACTGTGGGCATGTGCTACACCTCTCCAGCCATCACCAGCATGTCTCCCCACACAATCGAAAAGGGATGGCCATCGTTTTTCTCTGGGGAGGTAATGAACCATACCTCAATGTCCACCTCTGTCCATGCCAGCATCAGTGCAGTAAATGCCCTTGATTCTAACTTGCATTCCTCACCTTTTAGTTGTGCTTCTTATTAGATCGCTATGAAGTCTCCAGTTTGTGCGCATTGTCATAGCCATTTTCTTCCTCCTTTGGCATTGTTGACAGCCTAGAGGAGTTGTAACAAGTTCTAATCCACTTTCCATCATTTCCCCATTCCAAAACTTTGGATTGCTGTTTTGAACATATCCCTGTCTACTATGTCCACCAGCTGCTACCCCCCGACATGAAATTCTCTCCAGATGGTGTAGTGGTCCTCCCCGCCTAATGTCTGATCCCCTTCCCTAAAGAGCGCATTGAAAAAAAGTGGCTGGTTGAGCCAATCCTCAATGCAGCTTAGTCTAATCTATCCTAGGGGAAAAGAGTTCCATAACCTGTGGAGTCCCTGGATAAGAGGACCCCTTTCACAACCTATATTGGGCCTTCAGCAAACAACCAACACGGGTCTTTGGCCCATGGGCAAGTCATGTTGTGCCATGGATAAATGGCTGTCTACTTGGTTGGAGTCCCATGAGAATGATCTTGTACCTTAGAGCCTTGGCCATATCACTGGGGTCAATGAAATTGAGTCCTCCCAACACTCATGGATGGAATTCCTTGCCCATCATCCTCCCTATCATCAGTGCACCCTGCCAAACGTAAGTATATACCAGATTGCAGCCAGATTGAGATATGGTACCATATGTTTGGCAAGATGACAGACTTTGCCACCACAGTCCTAGTTGAGAGGCCAAGCTTCCTAGGAGCCCATTTCTAGACCAGTGTCCACAAGATGCCATCTTACAATGTTATGTTTTACTTAACCCCTGGATCCTCAAGTATCTCATATCCTCTCAAGGTTTCAGCCACTGGAAGTCAATTGCCTGTCCACAGGATTTGAACCCAAGGTTTCCCTAGTTTATCCTGACTGACTTGTTCTAGTTGATTGCCACTCTGACAGCCAAGTTAAAAGTTTTTAGTCATTCCTTTGCTCTATCCAGGTTCTCTATAGTGGCTTATAGGAAGAGTGCCATGTCATCAACAAAAGCTCCATCCAATTCTCATGCCACCACTTCTGTCTTTGGGAGCTACAATTAAGAACAAGTATAGAGTCAGGGGGCATCATTACCTTACCAAGTGGCCTAGTTGAAAAGAAGGTCCTGTCTCCCTATTAATCATGACTCGGCTGGTTGCTCTTTTATACAATAGTGCTATCTGTTTGATCATACTTATGGGATGCTAATCCTCTCGGTCATAAGCCTTCTCAAAGTCTACTATTAAATACTTAGGGATAATTTCCAAATCTTGTATAGTAAATAGGATCATTTAGTCTTTCACCAAGAGTAACCTATGACTTGAAGTTATTTGTGGCTTAAACCCTCTAATCACTTGCAAATCCTAGATATCTAGCTCTCAAGTTTAGAAAATAAGATTCATTATCAACGATAACTTATACTTGTATGTTGAATTGTTATTTGTAATCTCCTCACCTGGAAGCTCTATTTAGGTGTGTGTGCAATTGATAACTCCAATATAATTTAGGAAATTATGCAATCTTAAATCTCTTTCCTTTTTCCCACATAATATACTTCTTTACAATTGCTTTTAAAAATTTCTTTAATATCTTGATTCAAGTTGAGTAGTGATATCCAAACTTCTCTATTGTAGCTAATTGCTACAAAGAGATGGCCACTTATTTTGCCATAAAGTTATAGAATATTACAAAAACTTCATAGAGGATTTGTATTGAGATTATCATTTAATAAATCATAAAAGAAATCGATTGTGGACACAAAAACTTGAAAATAGTTTTTCTAATGACTTGGATCAACAACTTTCAAAGAAGTGTAGAATAAATACCACCAATGCAAATTCCATTCTTTGATGTACATATCTCCAATAAACTAACCTTGAGTGGAATTTCCTGACTTAAAAATCCATTAAACACATTGTTGAATTGCCATATTCAAATAAGTGTATTATTGATAGGAGAAGAAATAACAAAACTAATCAAAGCTATAGAGGAGTGTAACTTTTCTTCATTCATCAAGG